ATTTGTGAGAGAGTATGCCACAATTCGCCAACGAGATGATGAGTCTGTAATAGAGTATTTGGCAAGATTTTTGAGGCTCGCTGGTTTTGCAGGGTCGTCAGCCGGGACATCTCTAGAGCAGGCTGAAAAGTTTAAGTGGACAATTCATTACCGGTACCGTTCCAAACTTATCAATGAGAAATTTACGGTTGTGGCACAARCGGCAGATGCTGCCAAGAATATTGAGATGGAACGACAAGACTTTTTGGCATCCAAATCAGATGGGGGAAAGAAAAGAAGTCGCGATGGGCAACAAATTCAGCAGATGGGGCAACAAAATCAGCAGCAAGGTGGTAACAGTGGGAATCAGTGGGGACAAAATAGTAGCAAGCGTYAGGGGCAGTGGCAAGAATCCAATACCATCCAGGAAAAGCCAATCTAGTGGCAGATGCCCTTAGTCGAAAAAGTTCAGGGAACTTGTCATGCCTTACTACTCAAACCTCATATCGTCTTGGATTTAGAACGCATGGGTGTTGAGGTTGATAATAATCATTCAGATGGGTGGTTAGCAAGTTTTACAGTGGAACCCACTTTGATTTCATGAGTCAAAGAAGCCCAAAAACAAGACGGAGAGCTCTGGGTCATATTACAAAAGATAGATGACGGTAAGCAAGCTGATTTTCGGGTTGATGCAGACTATGTGATATGGTTTGGAAATAGACTGTGTGTTCCCAATGACCCAGAAATTCGCGAGGCGCTATTGAAGGAAGCACACAACTCGCCATTCTCTATTCATCCTGGATCCACAAAGATGTATAGAGATCTGAAGCAAAACTTTTGGTGGAATGGAATGAAGGGAGACGTAGCTAACTTTGTAACAAAATGTCTTACTTGCCAGAAGGTAAAAATCGAACACYAAAAAGCGAGTGGATTTCTGCAACCGTTAGAAATTCTAGTGTGGAAGTGGGAGGATATCTCGATGGACTTTGTAACTGGGTTACCGAAGACGCTTAAGAAAAATAATGCCATTTGGGTTGTGGTCGACCGATTGACTAAGTCGGCTCACTTTCTTCCTATTCAAGAAGGGTATTCAGTTAGTAAGCTATCAGAACTCTTTCAACGAGAGATAATCAGGCTTCATGGCACACCAGTATCTATAGTATCTGACAGAGATCCTTGATTTACTTCACGATTTTGGAAAGGTTTACAGAATGCATGGGGAACCAGACTCAAGTTCAGCACTGCCTTTCACCCTCAAACAGATGGACAATCCGAGCGAATGATCCAAACTTTGGAGGATATGTTAAGATCATGTGCTTTAGAATGGTTCGGAAGTTGGGATGAGTATTTATGTTTAGTAGAGTTT